GAGATGTTTTGTGCAGCTTTTCTGTGATTAGCCATTGGAATGGGCTGCCCAGGGAGGTGATGGAGTGACTGTGCCTGGAGGTGTTTAAGCAAAGCCTGGATGTGGCCCTCTGTGGCCATGCCTGGTTGGCAGGTGTTGGGCTCAGTGCTCTCAGGGGTCTTTTCCAGCACATCTGATTCTCTGATTCCAAGGATGGGAAGCCCAAGCCTTGTACCAGCTGCACACTATGAAGATAAATCCAGTATTGTTGAGGTAGCGAGGCATTCAAGGGTTCATAATGCCTGGCAGGAAAAAGAAGTAAACTCCTGGGACTGTTTAAATCTCACCCAAAATTCTGGAGTTGCACAGATGTGAAGCATAGCACACAGAGCTCTCAAAACTCAGAGCAGTTAATTTTGCTTTTAGTAGAACTATTTAGATTCTGCTGAAGCCTTAAGGGGGATAAATGACACTCATTTTGCTTGCATTGATAGCTCCTATCACTGCCATGTTAAAATCTGTTTCACCCTCCAAATTTAAGTTAGATATAGATGAATGTTGAAAACACTTGATTGATGACATCATAATTAAAGATTTTTAAATCTTCTAATAGGAAGTCATTTGTGCTGACTCTGAGAAGTCAGATAGTATATCACAGGACACAGCACATATTCTGAACTGGCAGAATGAAATATGCCTGCTGCTGCATGTGGTTATATAGTGAGAATTCCAAACTTAAACTCAGATCAGGATAGAAAGGAAATTATGCTTAATATAAAGTTAAGACTTTATAAGCAAAATAGTTCTGAATGAATTCTATATTTGGCGTATGTATAACTGCTGTTGTATATGGCAGACACTTTTCCATCAAGATATTTTTGCTTAAAATGTGAAAATATTTCTGTCAATACTGTGTCATGAGGGTTATTTTGATTTTCTACACCCAGAGAGCACAGAATGCAGTTTTATGGAACATAGGTTATAAAATATGCAAAGCATCCATATAAGAATGAATTTTCCTTTGCAAATCAAATTACATTTTGGGGATACTAAACCGATAATTTCTGAAAGCCTCCTCACAGGAGTGAAAATTATATAATTATATTCTCAAATGCCCTTCACTTGTGTTTACACTGCCTTGAAATTCTATCCAGAGGCTGTCAGTAGAAGCATGACTAACCACAGAGGCAGTGATCACCTTGAAAACTGGAAATGGACTTTGCCTCCCTTGCAAAAGTGCCTGAGTCATGGGTAACATAAATCTGAACAGATTTTGCTTCTTGGGAAGAACCTGCAGTTGCAATACCTTCTGTTATCATTAAGTCAGAAAAATGTAAGAATTATGGAAGTGCAGTAGGTTACTCCATAACTTTTTAAAAATTAAGCCTAGCTTTGTTTTTAAAGTGAAGTAGAAGGACCATTTGCAGAAGGGAGCTGGACTTCTCAAAGCCAAGATGGGAGTAGGCTCCTGGTCAGACAAACCATGATATTGAAAGCAGTATTTAATATAAGAATCTGAGTGTTAGGAGCTTTAAAGATAATGGCACATTGGAGATGTCAGCAGCAGAAAGCTGGAGCTGCACCTCAGCACTGGACTCAGATCTGACTGGAGGAGCCAGGAGGGTTTGAAGGGTCCCCTGTGAGCCTCTCCCGTTCTCCTCTTGCCCACAGAGCTGGCAGGATCCTGGCTGCTGCCCAGCAGTGCTGCTGCTCTGAGGCTGCAGAGATGTTTGGCACTGAGCAGCCCCCAGGACAAGCCCAGGGGGTTTTCCTTGGCTGCAGAGACACCTGCACCCAGGTGTGGCCTGGGCAGGAGGGCAGGGAGGGCTCTCTGTGCTAACCCCTCTCCCCTGCTCTCCCAGCACTGGGGCTCTGCCTGCTGGAAGGGAGCCAATGGGCAGATGGAGTTTGGAAGCAATCTCAGGGAAGGATGCTGTTACAAGTAGCTCTTAGTCTACCAACAGAACTTAAAAACTTCAAGATTTTGTGCAAAAAGTTTAGTTTTGGCAGAAAGCAAAGCAAAGGCAAAGAAAACACAAAAAGCGATATTCCACTTGGAAGTTGTTTGGTTTGAGGTCTGTCAATAACTGCTGTAAAATCTTTGTGTTTCTGGTCTGAAGAAGATCCTTTATGCACAGACTCCTACAACATCCTTTACTCCCTGGTCACTGGGGGATTCCTGCCTGTACCCTGAGTGTGTCAGCTCCAGTCAGGAATGGCCCACTGGGTAAATGGCCCCGAGCAGTGAGATGTGGTTCAGCTCTCTGACATCTCACCAGATGAGCAGCAGTGCCTGCAGTTTGGCTAATGAGCAGCACAAGGCAAAGAATACCCTGCCTTTCCTTCCAGGTGCTGCAGGCTTTTCCAGGGAGAGCACAGAGCACTTCTTCCCAAGTGGTGAATTACCTAATTCCAGTAAATTGCCTACTTCCCAGGTTATGCAAGCAACTTTCTTTTATAGCTCTACAAGGACATACTGCCATACATTGTGCAGAAAATACATTATTATACCAGTTGCTAAAAGACTAAAAAATATCTCAGTGTTTTTCTCTTTTAAAAAGAAGTAATTTCATTAATATTTTTTCCACAACAATGAGCAAGTAAAGAATATCTCCCTGCATACCATTTTCAGGCACAGCTCATCCTTGGTAGTAACTTTGCATTGAGACATTAACAGCAGCTTTTATTATTCATGGTTTTGATCTATTTTGTGGAGACAGAACAATACTAATCAGTTGATTTGACTTCTTCTGAAGTAGCTATTGTAAAGCTTATATAGGAAGGAGATAAGAACACAAGATGTCTTTACTCTGGTGATGCCTTAGGTTTTAGCTTTTATATTTTTCAGATTCTGTACTGTTTTAGTGTGTAGTTCTGAGCTTCATATTAGGGGATGGTGAGCTCTCTTCACAGAGAAGGGAGACAAAACAATTCCTTCTCTAGCTGGGGACCAAGGACAAATGATCCAAATCTCAGCCCAAGAACACAAACGTGGGCTGAAGAGAGAAAAACAAGAAGGATGGGACTTCATAAGCTAAAGCTGTAACTGGACAATTAATTCCAACATGCAAATGGAGCAGAACTCTCACTTATAAAAGGGAGAGACCCTGTGACCAGTCAGGGATTTTGTGACCATTTTGGTTCCCCTTGGGTGCAGCCCTGTCTGAGCTCTTGTGCTGCCCAAGGTGGATCCATGGAGGCCTTCTAATAAATTTAATTCTTTAACTCTGTCTAGTGTCTGTTCTAGGTCAGCTTTGATAAGGCATCTCTGGAAAGGGAAAAAAAAGGAAGGGCTGTATTGCCATAAAACACTAACACTTTTCTGTAAGCTTTTCTCTTTAGATGAATTTTTCTTGTTAATATGCTTTCTTGGTTATTTTTGGGGGATGGTAGTATTAGTTAATAATAAGATTGATGTAAGTAAGCTAAATTTCATTCATGTGCAGAAAGTAGAGGGTGATATTCTGTGCTCAAACCTAATGGTCTCATTGCTGTTAAATATAGGTGGTGGTTAAATATAGGTGTTGTTAAATACAGGTGGTTGTTGCAAGTGTTGTATATACAGAAAATGCTTTCAGCTAGAAGACAATCTCAGGAAAAAATAGGATTGCATAATATAGAGAGTAAGGCTCTGTAAGACAGCACTTGCTGGTCTAAGTCTTCTAAATATGATCTTTATAATTCCATCTCATCCTTCAAATTGTTAAATGCACAGTTATAAAGATGAGTGTTTTAATGTGAAATGGTCATGGACTTCTGTAGGAATCTGATCTGCACTCAAAGCTGTCATAGCTTCATAAGACACTAGTCACATAGCCTGTATTCAAATAATTGCATATTTTTTACATTCATGTGATATTTCTCTTTTACTGCACTTCTGTAATTTTCCATATTAGTTTGATGGGACACTTAAATACTATTGCTTGTGAGATAAATAATTCATGGTTTCTGAAGCTTAACTATGTCTGTAGTCTTATACTATGTCAAGGCAATGTTTTATGCAGCTTTGTTTTAATTCATGCTTTGTTACCTTTATTATCACTAATTGTTGTTTTATAACAAAGCTATAGTTTGGAATCAGAATAGATATGCTTTAATTTAATCTGAACTGGAGCCTGATACTAGCAGTGTGTTTGTCCTTTCCAGAAGTGCAGCCCTGCAAAAGGCTGCTGTGCTGTTTATTTATCCATTGATATGTTTGAATGGGATGTATGTTGTCTATTGTCTTGAAAGTATTAAGTCAAATTGGTACCTGGAAGAACTGAGTAAATATTAATATGTACAGAAAGCTTCCCTATGAGTAAATAATATCTGCAGATCTCTGGAGATGATGTATTTTAATGCAGCTTGAATGTAATATTTCCATTTGTAAACAAATTTGATCAAATAAAATAAGCAGTGCTGGAGCCTTAATGTAATTCTATTATCTATAAGTCAGTACAGGAAACAGCAATGCAGATGCCTAACAAGAGCCAGAGTAGGTTCTTCAGCTTTGCTGATAAATATCTGTGTAATTCATGTAAGCCTAATAATCAGGCAGAAAAGCAATAACCTTAGTCGTGTCAGAACATAAATGGAATACAGATGAAAGTTGATGCTTTGAGTAAAAATGCATGCCAGAGTTAATGTAAGGAATAATGATATAAAGCTGAAATTCAAAAACTAGTAAAAATATCATTTGATATCCCACTATACAGGGAAATACAAACTGCTCTGAAATAAAGACCAGAAAGGATAGACCTGCCATTTTTGGGGGGTGTTCTTTGGCTGTCCATACCTTCATTTAAGCAAGCTAGGGGATAGAGGGTATCTGGGGATTTTAAGTACAAGCAGGTAGTATATGACAACTCTTGAATTTTGAATTGAACAGGAGAATTTTGGGTTTTTTTCCCTGCTGATCTTTCACCTTGGGTTTAAGCAACTCTCTAAAATGGCAATGATTTCAGATAGCCTGTAAAATGTTGGGAGAGAGAAGGATTTTATCACAGCTCTAAAGTTACCACCTGCTTTTTTTTCTGCAGGGTGCAGCTGATGGCAGGGCAGGTCACAGTGCTGATGATTCTGAGGAGCATCATCTCCATGACAGCAAGGGTGAGACTGGGGTACCAGCCCTGGGCTGAGTCTGCCTCTGAGGGGGGCCCAAGGAAGGTTGCAGGAATGCAGTGCAAGAATATTGCAATGAATAAATAAATAAATGTGTGTATGTGTGTGTAGCATGCAGGTAAAAAAACCCACCCAAGCTGTAAAAAGACATTGAGTCTCTGGTGTCTGCTCTTTCAGTGATGAGATTAGAATATTTCTGCATTTTCTTTTGAAGAAAATTAAATACTATTCCAGTCTGTCACCTACATGCTATTTTTGCAAGCACATCAGTACTTAGCAGATGGAATCAAAGAGATTGGAGCTATATTTTGGAAGCACCTATTAAAAAACCCAACAAAACCCAACCAAAAAACCCAACAAAACCCACTATTAATTTTGTTTAACAGAAATGAGACACCTCCCAGTGTAGAGGAATGCTCTCCAAGGCACAGGTTGACAGTCATTACTGGCACAGTGGAAATTCCTGTTGTCTTTACTGACAGGAGGATCCCACCTATTGTGAAATCAAAGGAGTAATCAAATCAAGAGTTTATGTTTCCACCAGATCATGTTGACAGAAGAGCTCCATCGTGCTTGACATAAATATAAGAAAATTGAAGCTTTTCTTCTTCACCTCTCTTACCATGCACAGCCTGTGAGCTTGGAGAGCTCTTGCTGGCTGTTAGGAAGAAACAGTACAAAGTAATTCCATAAGTGTATTCTTTCTGAAGGGAGTTTAGAAATATTCTGGAACAAAAGGAAGCAGAATGAGTCTGATAAGGCAGCATCTTGAACTTATTGCACATTAATGGACAGTTCTATAGTATCTGCCTGCTTTCAAACCTAGTCCATCCACAGGTGTAACCTGTCAGAGTGATGTGCCTCAGCATGCTCATTGCCTTCTCTGAATGTGTGTAAATAAATGTTTCTGTTTTGTTGGATTTGAGCACAGGTATGTACAAAGACTAGGAAAAGGGATCATCAGCTGCAGAAGTCCTATGTGTTAAAATATTATTCATTTTTAGAGAAATTTTTCTTTCTCTATGTTCTTTTTGTTTTCTTTGACAATTCTACCTGTTTTGGCTCAAAAAATCCTGTTGTCTAATCATCCTGGCTCTAGCTATGGAGAAGCTGCACTATGTCAGTAAATAATCTGGTACTGTATCTCTCAAATATTTTCAGTTCAGTGCTACATGGTGAAGTGTACTTGATGCTTTCCAACTGAGATCTTGAGGAACGACCTCCTTTATGAAACATTTTCTTTCCTTGCTATTTCCAAAAGCAAAATATAACATTACATAGAAATTTGAGAAAATGGAGGAGCACACAAGTCCGCATTTCCGAGATGCATGTGATTATGGAATTTAATCTGTGAAGGCCAAACTTCTCAGGAAAATTGCATCTGACTTTATAAGACTTGGCAAACCTCCAAGTCAAAAAAATATTTCTGCTTTTTCTGTTAAAAGCAGAAATACTCTTCCACTTTTCCTGTTAGCTGAGAAAATTCATTTAATTTCCATTCTAAGAAAAATGAAAGAATAGCCCGGCCTAAAATATTTGAGTTAGTATGTTATATTTTATATCAGTGTTATATTTCATATAAAAAAAGAAAGACCTGAGAAGGTTTGTCTGTAACTCACCTTTTCCATTTTTGCCGTCACACTGACAAGTTTACTTGAAAATCAATATTTTACATTGAAAAAAAACCCATTCTGTGTCAGTAACACTCTCAAGCAATATAGATCTCAAAGAAATATGCCGAGATGTGGCAGGTAAATATTTGTAATGAATAATCTGCCTGAACCCCACAGAAACTGCAGATTTGGAAAACAAGATGGCCATTTCCAACAGTGGTGCTCTAGCTATTCTTCCCTTTCTCCTTGGGTACTTTTGCCACTGTTTTTACCACAGGGCTGCCTCGTTACTCTTCCCTTGGCATCTGTGCCTCTTCTTCCTGCAAATGCCAACCCTCAGGAAAAAAGCATCTCGTAGGCAGCGATGGCACAGGCTGCCCTGCAGGAAGAAGGCATTTAGCAGAGTGAGAATCATGCCAGCTACTCTGGGAGCTTTCTGTCTGCCCCAGTTTTCCTCCTGCAGAGAGAAAGAGGTGGTGGGGTTTGGGTTGAGCCGTGGGTGAGAGGCAGACAATGGTACCTCCTCTCGTCTCTGCCACCTCAACTTTCTGTGCTCCCACCCTTCTGTGAAATGAGGGTGTTCACTCTTACCTGTGTCCCGTAAAACAGTTCAGGATTTATAATGTGTAAAGGGCTCTTGATCCGACATCCTGAGGGAGACAGCAAGATGATGGTTGGATTCTTTGTGCTTTTGAATAGGAAGTCTGTAGGATTTAATCTGGAAAAAAAAAAAGGTGAATTCTTTTCACTATGAACCTGGATTGTCTGTTCCAGGGAACATGTACTGGAAGCAAATCCATAATAATTGTATTCTATATTCATACATATGTAGGTCTGAAAATAAGCTGTTACAGTAGCAATCTCTCCAGAATTAGAGTGCCCAGCAGTTCCCAATATTTCAGCCCTGCATAAACCCCAGATTGAGGTGAAAGTCACTAAAATTATCATGAAGACAATGTGGAGTGATTCTCTTCTGTCATAATGGGAAATTGGAATGTGGAATATGTTTTTATTTTTTAAATTTCCATATTCCCACTCTAATTAAAACCAAATGTGTTTTACTCTATATGAAAAGTAACACAGAAAGTTTAATCTGGAAAAGCCAGGACAGCTGAGCTTGGACAATATAAGTCAAAATCTATGTTAGTAGGAAGTGCTGCAGATGGTTGGAGGTTGCAGGCAGATTTTATAAAAGAGAAATTATGTTTCATTCTGAAGAAAATGAAGACAGAACTCCAGCCTGTCTCATCAGAGTGTGGAAAAGAATTCAGGTTACATATTGAATGTAAATGAAGTATTTTGATTATTTTTACAATTTTATGGAGATTAGAGCTTTACTGTGAAAAGTACAGCTTGAGACTGATTTTTTGCATCACAGTCTGAAAGCAAATGTTCGAACAGTAGGAACTTCAAAACAGATCCACCTACTTCATTTATATACATATATATGTGTATATATGCATATATAATTTTAAGGGAATCTGTTTTTATTTAAAAGGAGTATACTCGTCCCCCAAGCTAGTTGAATTGTCATTGCACTCTTAAAATATTTTTTGGGATATGGATCAACTTTTGTGAATAGGCAGTTCCTATGCAATACAACCTTTATTATGACTGGTGACCATAGGGCTACCTCAGCTTAGAGAATGATAATCAGGGGCATTTTGGAATATTTAAATAGTAGAAAGATTAGATTTTTTTTCTTTTTCATCCAATTTTCTCAATGTGTTACACAATAATGAAATTATGAGCAGAGTCAATATGTTCTTTAATTCCTTACAACTCCTACATCTATAACTAAAGCAAGGGAGAAGTTGTGCTTTTTTGTTTTAAAGGAGCTTGTGTCATTTATTACAAAGGGAAAAGAAAGAGAAAAACAAAGAAGTGGATAGACATTGATGCACAGAGAACATGAGTGTTACCTGAGAAAACCCCCTGAAATTCAGCAGTCGATGTGCCAGAAGGACTTTCAAAGTGATCCACAGCTGTATGGTTCAAACCTTCCCTCATGTCTCCAGCAGAGAAGGAAAAACAGAGAATCCATCCTTCACATTTTAGAGTTCTGCAGCTCAAGGGTAAAACTGTGAAATGCCTGATTCCAGTTTTCCTCAACTTCATGGCAGCAATAAAAAGAGCATAAGTAGAAAAGAACTAGATATCTAACAGCTTAAAAAGACATATTGACATTGGCACATACTTATTTGATGCAGCAGTTTGTGGGATTTGTGCTGAAATGGAAGACTTTTAATAAAGCAGTTGATATCTTGCCATTAAAAAAAGGTGTAAAGAAATGCCATGTCAAACTGTGTTCTCCACAATATGCATGTGAATGAAGGGAAGAGTAATGAAAAAGCTTGCCAAGTCAAACAAGATAAAAGCAAAATAAAAAATTAAACCACAAAGCATTGCTAATAGTAGCACAACATGGCCTTTCTTTGGCTGTGTAATTCTTGTTTTGGTATAGCTTTGAAAGTATTTGTTTCAGAAGGAGTGAGAAGCCCCTGTGCTTGCTGTAGAAGCTTCACAGAAGTAGCTTCCAATTACTGAAGCAAAATGCTTGGCACTCTTTAAGAAAGGGATTGGACACTTGTATGAGAGAGAAAAATAGAATTTAGGCAGCTGCAAAAGTTGGATATTTTGATAAAATATTATTTATCTCAAAGTTTAAAAGCCCTATAGCAAGTCAGCCTTTAACTAATTTGTGTGAGAGAAGAGCTTACCTCCAGACATCCGATTTTATTGTATCGATTTTACCCTGATTTTCCAAGTTTCATTATTCACCTCAGGGACTGATACTCAGTAAAATTATGCTCATTAAAATTGGCCTAATCCAGCATATCACATTTTATAATTCTGTCTTCTTAATATTTCCTGTATAACAAGCTTAATTAGGTTAGCTGGAGTTCACAGAAAAGAACTGTTCTGTATTGGATTGAAGGTGTTTTCTTTAGCTTTGATGGATAAATGGCTGTCTCTATCATCAGGCACAAGTAATACAATATTTTCTCATCTTCCTAGATAGGTTGTCAACATGTGATCCATAGCAGCTGCTGTGAATTTGTACTTTTTCCAATAGGAAATATGGTAAATGTATAAACCAAAATAAAATTGCAGAGGAAATAACTTTCTTATGTATTTCAGTAACCAAAGTGTGTTGGGTGATGTCTTGAGTTTGGTGGTTTTGGTTTTTTTTGGTTGTTTTCATTTTGTTTGTTTTCTTGGTTGGTTGGGTTTGTTGCTGTTTTGGTTTTTGTTTTTATTTTGTAACCATGTATGAGTTTAGCTGTAATAGAGAAAATAAAGATTTCCTTTCTGGTCCAGAACTGAAGACCAGACATTTTGCTCAAATTGAAAAAATGCCATTAATTTTAATAT